AAAAATGGCGGTTTGCAACCCCGTGCAACCTGCCCACCCCTCCACTTGGAAATACATTGTGCCCGCTCACAAGCGCCGGAACTGCGCTAGCGCTGCGCAACGAAAAATGGCGGTTGAAAGTTGATAAACAATCTTCGTCGACGAGTAATATAGCAAGTACAACATTTATGCGATAGTTTGCTGTTTAATTGTAGTGTTTATAGTAACTTAAGACATTTATGCGGCAGAGAATGTGCTTTATTTGGCGTACCGAAGAAGTTATTATCCGCAAAAAGTTGTCTTTGCTTACTCCCTGGAAATTGTCATAGTACCCATGTTCTATAGCCCTGCGGCGGAGCGGAGGGCTATACGCCTATAGTTCTAGAGCTACATGATACATCTGACTATGTCAGATGAGCTAAAAACATGCATGTGGTGTTATTGTGATTTACTTCTACTTCTACTTCTACGCTATATTGGCCACTATAATACTACTATTAGTATTACTAGTAATATTACTACTACTACTACTAGTTTGGGTTCAAGTAGCGTTTACACACCAATGTCGTGAGTTTGGTTAGGGTTAGAGTTAGTGTTAGGGTTAGGGTTTTAAACCTGGGGTTGTTAAATAGGAATGGGCCCTAGTTTGTGTAACGACTAACCCGACTAATAGTAATACTATTATTACTAACTAGTACTACTACTACTAGTACTACTACTACTACTACTACTAGTTTGTGTAACGACTAACGTTACCTGCTGCACCTCCAAATGTTTTCACCCGAAAATCTTCCAAGGTTTTTGGATACGCATCAAACCGCCGTAACTTTTGAAGAATATCTTTCGCTTGCATTGTATACTGATCATGAATAGTGATTAAAGTACACGATGTCACTGGTATTAGAAAACAGACACGTATAAACACATAAATAATACATGAAACACTACGCGAACAGACAGCGATATTTCATTGGTGGCGCCACTGCTTTGCCGGTGTGTCCGTAACGGCGGCGATATTTCGCGTGACGATTATATTTTTTGTTGAACACAATACTATTACCTGCTCTTCGTTATTATGTGAAAGGGGTCGCCACACTTGATTCAATATAAAATAAAAAATGATATATATATATATATATATAA